GAACATGTCTCTGATTGGCTGAAACACCAAACAGATCATTGTTGCATCCCATAATCCCCTCTGTTTCAGCCCTGTTTCCAAAGTGCTGATTCTCTGTCTGTTACTTTAGATGACAATAAGGAGCCCCTCCCCACGCCCCTCTGAGAGATATTTGGTTACAAAGAACACAATGGTGCTCTAGGAGGAGATTCAGGTGATAAGGTGGGGGGGGGGGTTACCTTGGTTGGTGATTGGCTAATGGTTACACAAGCCAACAAATCGTTATGACATCATAAAGTGGCCAAAATCTGATCAGCTCATTTTCAGACAGGTTTTTATAGAAATGGATCAGGACAAAAAGAGAGAGAATCTTTGTTCCTGAAACTTTCAGAGTCTCTTTACACAGAGGGGACACATGTTGATGAAGAAGAGACATGAAGAAGAGGGGACACATGTTGATGTAGAAGAGACATGAAAAAGTGGATTTTGCATAATAGGTGACCTTTAAAATGTCTGATATATTTCCCCTTCTGTGTTTTGTTCAGCTCTCTACGTCAGTATTCCTTCCACTCACTGAAGGACTTGTGCTCTCTGAGAGATGTTCCTGACCTGAGGAACGATCTGGCCTTCCTCCTGCACATGTTGGACCAGTACGACCCCCTGCTGGCTCAGCGTCTGTCCGTGTTTCTGTCTCCGGTCACTGAGAGCCGGCTGCTGGAGGAAAGCTTGGAGAGGCGTTGGGGGGAAGAGAAGCTGAGATCCATGAGCAGCGTGGATTCAGAGGGAAGCTCCAGACTGCAGCTGGTGGCTCTTCCTCGTCTTCCTCCAGCTCTCTTCACCCTCAACCAGCTGCACGTCCTCAAACTGGAGCTCATCACCGAGGCCAGGTTTACTGCACAGGTAGCCAACATGAAATCACTCAGGTGAGTTCAGGATGGTTTAATATCACATCAGAATCAGAATCTTGCACTAATGTACATTCCCAAAGATATTGAAGTGACTGTTATTTTGTATATATTGATTGTTGTGTTTTTATCTTAAAGGTCATCTAATATGCAAAATCCACTTCTTCATGTCTCTTCTACATCAACATGTGTCCCCTCTTCTTCATGTCTCTTCTACATCAACATGTGTCCCCTCTTCTTCATGTCTCTTCTACATCAACATGTGTCCCCTCTTCTCCATGTCTCTTCTACATCAACATGTGTCCCCTCTTCTTCATGTCTCTTCTACATCAACATGTGTCCCCTCTGTCTAAAGAGACTCTGAAAGTTTCAGGAAAAAAGATTCTCTCTCTTTTTGTCCTGATCCATTTCTATAAAAACCTGTCTGAAAATGAGCTGAAAATCAGATTTTGGCCACTTTATGATGTCATAACGATGTTCTGGCTTGTGTGACCATTAGCCAATCACCAACCAAGGTAACCCCCCCCCCACCTTATCACCTGAATCTCCTCCTAGAGCACCATTGAGTTCTTTGTAACCAAATCTCTCAGAGGGGCGTGGGGAGGGGCTCCTTATTTTCATCTAAAGTAACAGACAGAGAATCAGCACATTGGAAACAGGGCTGAAACAGAGGGGATTATGGGATGCTGCAATGATCTGATTGGTGTTTGGAGCCAAACACTTCAGAGACATGTTTTGTATATATCTGAGACCTATAATATGTTGATGAAAAACAGTATAATAGGGGACATTTAACTATGTATTCCCCCAACAGGGAGCTCCACCTCTACCACTGCTCAGCGGCGGTGGATCCGGGGGCTTTGGGGGTCCTGCAGGAGCGTCTGGAGGTCCTTCACCTCACCTTCACCCAGGCTTCAGAGATCCCCGGCTGGGTAACTTCCCTCCGAGGCCTGCACGAGCTCCACCTCTCCGGACGCCTGAGCAGTGATAACGGTGTGGGTCGCAGCTGGGCGTTAGGAAGCCTGCGACAACTACGTCACCTCCGAGTGCTGGTGATCAGAGGCATGCTGCAGAGGATCCCCGGGGAGCTGTGTGAGGTGTTGGTCTGCCGCTTTAATATAATAATTATAATACATTTCATTTTTATAGCGCTTTTCCTGGTGCTCAAAGACGCTTTACATAAAATCAGAAACAGTACAAAGAAAACAACAAAATGTCTATATTTCTGTTGCTGTAATATATTGGTCTTTCATAGAACAGTCTAACTTATCAAGAACATTTTATATTGAGATAAGATAAGATAAGATAAGAAGTACTTTATTGATCCCAATTTGGGAAATGTTTGCGTTGCAGCAGCATAAAAAGACATGGCATAGTACATAAGAGAAATTAAAAGACTAGAAATTAACAATCCAAAATGTAAACATCTCAAATTGAACACAATATAAAGCAGGATATTATATATACATATATATATATGTAATACATTTGTTATTTACTGTTTTTATACCATTTGATTATGTTTTCTGACAATTTTAGGAGCAAGAATGGCAGATATTAGTCCCCTAGAACTGCAAAATGGACCCAAAATTAATCAAAATCAGCCACCAGGAACACAAATATGGTCCCTTTCTGGTTAAAACGGCCATTTTCAATCTTGGAAATGGCAGAACGTGATTCAACATCCTCAATAACCTCCAAAACTGTTCAAAAATCGGCCACGCCATTCTTACTATTGTCTGCATTATGCTTATTAATGCTACTTATGCCAATTGTGCAAATTGCCCAACATATGCAAGCTAGCATCCGGCAGTCTCTCTGTGCTTGGGGCCCATACTGTACATTTCTAACATAACACTTTGGGGTACTCAACATTTCCGTGCTCACAATAGGACTCTATGAGCTGGCAAACAGAATAATAAAGTATAATCGTATTGTTCTGTCAGAGAGAAACCATTATTTTATTTTATTATCATACATGTTGCCTTCCTTTTATCTATTAACCTGTTAAAATGTTGTATTTTGCTGCATGTACCTGTAAAGGTCTTGCATTTCTTGTTGTTTGTTTTCAACTTGTGATGTGTCATTTTGTAAAGCACTTTGAGCTGCATGTGTTGTATGAAAAGTGCTATATATATATATATAAATAAAGCTTTATTATTGTTGTATGGTAGGTGGCGGGCAGCTTGGTGCGGCTGGAGGTCTTCAACGAGGGCACCAGGCTGCTGGTCCTCACAGGGCTGAAGCGGATGGTGGATCTGACGGAGCTGCTGCTGCAGGACTGCCGGCTGGAGAGATTACCGTCTGCTCTACTGTCCCTCACCAACCTGCGCACTCTGGACCTGCAGCACAACAACCTGCGGACCCTGGAGGAGCTGCTCAGTCTGGCTGCTCTGCGCCGACTCTCCTGCCTCAGACTCGCCTACAACCGAGTCCTCTCATTACCCGCTAGTGTTGCCGTTCTGCGAGGTCTGGAGCTCCTGGATCTGTCCAACAACCAGCTGCAGAGTCTTCCTCCAGCCCTCTTCACTCTGCACCGCCTTAGAAAGCTGTTCCTGGCTGGTAACCTGCTGGAGGTGCTTCCTGCTGAGGTGAAAGCGCTGCAGCTGCTCACAGAGCTGGATCTCAGTGGGAACAGACTGGAGAAACTCCCCTCTCAGCTGTTCAGTAGCTGTTTGGAGCTGCACATCCTTAATGTGGCGCACAACTCTCTCAGTGCACTACCCAGAGGTGTTGCAGCTCTGAGTCGGTTGTGCAGGTTCGATCTGCGCAGTAACAGTCTGGAGGATCTGCCCGCTGAGCTGGGATCCTGCCCCGGTTTGCATGGAGGGGGTCTGCTGGTGGAGGACTGGCTGTTTCTCTCTTTGCCCCCCAGAGTTAGGGACTTCCTGAGCAGATCTTGCCCCCCCTCTGGTGCATATTCAGAGGGTAATTCACGCCCAGAGTCCGACAGTTTCCCGTACTTCTCTCCTACTCAGTGGAGTTTCTCTTCTGCTCTGGAATCACAGATATAAGTCTCTAATACCAGTTGTGAAATGCAATTTACTCAAGTATCAATGTTGAGGTACACTAACTGAGTATTTACTGTAATTTTTAGCTACTTTATACTTCTACTTCAATACATTTTGGAAGCTAATATTGTACCGATTACTCCCTATACACTTATCTGACAGCTTTGATAACTCTACAGATTCAGATTGTTAGCTAATACAAAATATATATCAACTAATAAGATACTAAAAAAAAAAGGAACCACTGAAAAGGTGCAGTCGTAGTCTCTAATTAAGGCCACTTGAGAACAAAAACATGATTATTTATTGATAATCCCAGTTGATCAGCTTGTTTCTTACTGTGCCTGTTGTATCACTTTATTAAAATAACTCACTGAGAGTGTTAAATGCTAGTAACTGTAATCCAACCGGATGCTGGTGTGTCTATATATAGCTAGTTGTACTTATCTCCAACACCAAAATAAATTATAATGACTCTTTATGAACCTATGCATTACAAATACTGACTTTTCTGCTGTTATTTGCAATTATCAGCCTTATAATTAGTATTTCTAACAATAATACTGATATTACCACTGTGTGTTTGCCACACTGAGATCACTTGAAGGCATGTTTATGCAATCATATTTGTATTGAACCTTTTGAAATGACAGAAGCAATACAGAAAAAAGTGAATGAATAAAAGTTATGTTGTACCTATTCCTATTGTTGTTGTTTTTATTTATGCTGTTACTTTCATATTTTATAATTTTTGTATCCTTGTGTGAACTATTTTCTGTCCTATCATATATTTAAATATTATGCTATTGGCAGACGAACTAAGAGGACTAATAAAGGTTTAATTAATGTAGTTAATACATTAATTAAATGGCCTAAAAGTCCCAGATTTGATCAAATAAGAAATGTTCGCCCATACGAAAATCATAATAAAGTCCTTTCCTTTCTTTTTTGCACCATAAGAATGCATTTACTTTATTGTGCAATTTATTTTTGTATTCTAATTAAATGTCAGTGTCTCTCCTGGGCTTCCATACACTCATCACTGCTGTATCCCGCTTTTTTTATACTGCGGCACACTTTTCAACCAATCGCTATCCTCTTTTACCGGCGCTCGTCTAAATCCACCAATCGTATCGATGCGCTTCAGAGAAGGCGGGACTTCCGGGTACTCGTATAAACCGACTGAGGCCTGCCCATGCGGTTTTGATCTGTAGTAGAGAAGCTAACAACGACAAGGTAAGAATTCAGTCTTTTATCCACAAATAGAGAGTTTCTGAAAAACATTGAATGAAGTTTGGGAAGAGTTCGATTAGTTTAGTTCGAAGGAGTTACAGATGAGCTACTCTGTAATGAAATATCTTCTTTCATTGTTTGTTTTATGATGATAGTCGTTACGTTTCTTCGTTAGCATTAGTTAGCTTAGCCACCAACATTTCCCCATTTTTATTTTTTTATTGTTTTAGTAAGTGCGTAGCTTTTTTTATCCCAACATACCGAGTTAAATATAATTAAATACGTGTTATGTATTTGTCTACGGTGGTTGTGAGTATGGTTTCGCTGCTTCGTCAGAAAAATATTGTTTGCCGCTAGCATGTTAGCTTAGCATTAGTCATGAAACACAATGGAGTCCCAGTGTTGTCAACGGATCTGAAGCTAGTGCTAACCGGTTTGGTTAAACCGAAGGCGTCGGCTACTATTCAAGGCTTGGCTTCATTAAAAGAATGTGAACGGGTGTTTTGTGTAAAGGGGAGCCGTTTTGTCTACATACTGCGTACTTGAATTGTAGGCCTGGTTTAATATGAGCGCCTGCAAATAACCTAGTTAGCATAGCTCACTGATTAGCCTCTTGCCGTACAAAGGGTGAGATTCAGTTACGCCTATTCAACCATAATACTTCCACTGTACACACAACAAACTCATGTTGCAATGAAAGCTAATTATCACACTTTTGTAGTATTACATTGTTTGAATCTTCTTTAAAACTTGTGGTTAAAGTTGGCACAAATAATAGCAACAACAGCTGGTCTCAGTTTACAGTTCTCTTTCAAACCAGTTGGAAAGTTGGTTCTAGGATTGCACAATTAGTGGAAATGTTATCCACATTTCAGTGTGAATTTGTGTAATATCCAAATCACAGAAGGCACACGATGTGTTAGGCCTCAATATGTGTTAAAGTAAAGTTTTGAATGTAGTATTGTGGAGCTGCGGAGATAACCCGGCCTACATATAGTTTTACATACTAAATTAAACATGCGTTTGGTACAGTCCCTCTTTATAAAGTCACTCCATAATCGATGGTAATGAGAATTATACAATACAGCTTCATTTGTAAAGCACTTTAAAATCTCCAGGTGTTGCACAACGAAATAAATTTGTTGACGAGTTGCACACTTTTCCAAGTTGTGCAACTCAAGATTCAAAGGTTTTATTGTCATATACTCAGCAGCTACAGTGTAGAAATGGCAATGAAATTCTTCTGACCTGAGCTCCTCCAACAATGCAACATATATAATAAAATAAAAAGTAGTGCAAAAAGACTATATACAAGTCTACTTGTTTTTCCAAGTTGTCCGTCTGTTCAGTCATGTGATGATAGACATGTTCACAATTTTAAACTCACACTATTTCCTTTTCCCTCCTTAGACCGACACAATGGCAGAGACTGATGTTGACAACGAGCTGCTCGACTACGAAGAGGATGAGGAGCCTCAGGGAGCCCCAGAGAGCGCCGTCCCCGCAGGGAAGAAGGAGGTGAAGGGATCCTACGTCTCCATCCACAGCTCCGGGTTCAGGGACTTTCTGCTCAAACCAGAGCTGCTGCGTGCCATCATCGACTGCGGTTTTGAGCATCCGTCTGAAGGTGAGCGAACTTTGGTTGTATTTATAGAAATGTATTTCTTTATCTGTTAAGTCAAATTCATGAAGTAATGCATAGAATCATTACAATTTGATAGACAGTAATGTCTAATAGATACTTTTCATCAATAACAAGAGCAGACCATTTTACTGGTTGTGTCAAATATAGAAAACAAAAGGGGTATGGGTTAGTTTGAATTTCATTTGTGCCTAACATGTACAATACAAACAAAGTGCTTTATGTAAGCATGGGGAAAAACGGGGGAACAATACAATTCAGGAAATACAGAAAATTGTGAAAAATCAACATGAAAATAGAGTGAATTCTGCAAATGGTGAGAACATATAATGTTGTTAAATGACCTCTGGCAAACTGGCGGTAAACACAAAAGTTTTTAGCATCAGTTTAATACTAATTATCATTTTGATTTATAAGGTTTTCTTTTGATAACATGCCCTTGTTCCTTAAATACAAAATTAAACCTAACTATAGGATCTCCCACGTGTCTACAGTTTCTTTACAGTACCTTGATGTACTTGCTTTCCCAACAATAATGTGCCTGCATTGACCATTTTTTTTAAATTTTGTTTTCAGTCCAGCACGAGTGCATCCCACAAGCGATCCTGGGCATGGACATCCTGTGCCAAGCGAAGTCCGGTATGGGAAAGACGGCCGTGTTCGTGCTGGCCACGCTGCAGCAGATCGAACCTGTTGACGGACAGGTCAGTACGCATATTGAATACAATAGGTGTATTGGATCAAGTGAAGGGCGCGTTGTCATAGAAAATGTACAGAGGACTAGCTAGATACTTTTTTTCTTGTGATAGTAAAGCACAAACAGTGCAGACGCTTCTGTGAGATATGTCAGAAATATTAAAATGTGTATGTTGTATGAAACCATTCAAAACGCAATTTGTCGTCTAATTTGAAGTATCTCCTGTGACTCTAGTAATTATATACTCCATGTTTAGCGGTTTGACATCAGTGAATTACTTCAAAGTATTAAGTAGAGTCCAATGTCCTGTTGCGTTGCAAAAGGGGTTGGATCCAAATGGTATACTGTTGTTACAACTGTATCAGGACTGGCTATGTCACAGGAACTCACACTCCCGGTACCAAGTTAATGTCAAGTTTCTATTCAGTAAAAATGTGTATTAGGCATTAGGGCTGCACGATTTGGGGAAATAATCTAATTGCAATTTTTCAGACAAATATTGCGATGCGATTTTTATCGAAGGTCGTATCAACGTGCTCCCGTCTCTAGCACCCCCGCAGCCCGAGCTACGAGTGAAAGAACTAAACTCACATGAAACTTCCGTTGGGTTGCTTTTAAAGTCAAGCTTCAGTTTAAGATTCACCCTGTAATAGAAACATGTGATGGAGCATTACTAACCTGACTCAGATGGTTTGTTTCACCAAACCATCTAGAAAAGCTCCATTGGAAGCCATTTGGAAAAGTATTTCAAAAATACTTGGCAGGTGTTTGGATCAATCTGTCTATCATGGGCCACTTCTGATTGGTTAACAACGGCTGGTACATGTGGAGCACAGCACTTCTGATTGGTGTGGATGACTGACACACAAGAAGAACAAAAAATATATAAATAAATCGCATGCTTCGCGATTTGATAATTTCAAATTTCGATACACCAAATGCATTTTTTTTTAAATTACTTTACTAAGGAGTGCAGATTTAACAGACAATACAACCGTTTTTCACATATCCTGGTTTTGGTTTTCAGGAAAATTGGTCACAGCATTGTATCGCTTACACATCCTGATACATTTCACACGATAAAGAGCAAACATATGATTAAAAACACCGTAAAATATATATATATATATATATATATATAAAAAACACACACAAAAAACACACACAATAAATTCTAAAAAACAATAACTAAAGGGTGGACATATAGACTTAGTCAGGGGGTAGGACTTTCAATGAATTAAAATATGATATAAAGGGCTCCCATAAAACGTCTGCTATCGGGACGCATTAACTTGTGGAGATGCAGAGTGTCTGATTCAGTGTGTCTCTGTGCTCCTCCTCAGGTCTCTGTGTTAGTCATGTGTCACACGCGAGAGCTGGCCTTCCAGATCAGCAAAGAGTACGAGCGCTTCTCAAAGTACATGTCCACGGTAAAGTGCGCCGTGTTCTTCGGAGGCATGGCCATCAAGAAGGACGAGGACGTGCTGAAGAAGAACTGCCCTCACATCGTGGTGGGAACGCCGGGCCGAATCCTCGCTCTCATCCGGAACAAAACCCTCGCGCTGAAGAACGTCAAGCACTTCGTTCTGGACGAGTGCGACAAAATGTTGGAGCAGCTCGGTGGGTTTTATTTGTTGTTTCTGAACATTAGCCCACATTTGATTAACCTTCAAGGCGTCTTGTGACGGTACCCATCCTTAAAACACTTTTAATTAATTAAAAGGAGTAGCTTTACTCATTCTCGTTGTATTTGTATAATGACAATAAATGATTGTATTCTCTTCCAGACATGAGGCGTGACGTCCAGGACATCTTTAAGATCACACCCCACGAGAAGCAGGTCATGATGTTCAGCGCTACTCTGAGCAAAGAGATCCGACCCGTCTGCCGCAAGTTCATGCAGGACGTAAGTGATCGATGAGTTAAAGGTCAACTATTGTGCAAAGTCCACTTCTTCATGTCTCTTCTACATCATGTGTCCCCTCTTCTTCATGTCTCTTCTACATCAACATGTGTCCCCTCTTCTTCATGTCTCTTCTACATCAACATGTGTCCCCTCTTCTTCATGTCTCTTCTACATCAACATGTGTCCCCTCTTCTCCATGTCTCTTCTACATCAACATGTGTCCCCTCTTCTTCATGTCTCTTCTACATCAACATGTGTCCCCTCTTCTTCATGTCTCTTCTACATCAACATGTGTCCCCTCTTCTTCATGTCTCTTCTACATCAACATGTGTCCCCTCTGTGTAAAGAGACTCTGAAAGTTTCAGGAACAAAGATTCTCTCTCTTTTTGTCCTGATCCATTTCTATAAAAACCTGTCTGAAAATGAGCTGATCAGATTTTGGCCACTTTATGATGTCATAACGATGTTTTGTCTTGTGTCACCATTAGCCAATCACCAACCAAGGTAACCCCCTCCCACCTTATCACCTGAATCTGCTCCTAGAGCACCATCGTGTTCTTTGTAACCAAATATCTCTCAGAGGGGCGTGGGGAGGGGCTCCTTATTTTCATCTAAAGTAACAGACAGAGAATCAGCACTTTGGAAACAGGGCTGAAACAGAGGGGATTATGGGATGCTGCAATGATCTGTTTGGTGTTTCAGCCAATCAGAGACAGGTTCTGGATATATCTGAGACCTATAATAAAGTAATGAAAGACAGTGTAATAGGGGACCGTTTTAAATCTGAATCTTCCTGAAACTTTCTATCAGGGAGAACTTGTGCGTCTTCCTTCACCGCTGCATGTTTCCCTAACCCTTCCTTCTGTTATCTCTCCTCCTCTTCAGCCCATGGAGGTGTTCGTTGACGACGAGACTAAGCTCACGCTCCACGGCCTGGCGCAGTACTACTGCAAGCTGAAGGACAGCGAGAAGAACCGCAAACTGTTCGACCTGCTCGACGTGCTGGAGTTCAACCAGGTAGAGTGATGGAGCTATCAATACTAATTATATAACAATTTTGTTATTTATTGGGACCATCTTTGAGTTAGTTCTTGTGTATCTAGTCGTAGTAAGCTGGTAATCTGCAAGTAAAGAAATTAGAACTGTTACAAAAATAATTGGGAAGCTCTTTGGTTGATTGACGGTATTTTCACCGTCCAATAAAGATTAACAACCGGTAAAAACAGCACTTGCATCCCATAAAGTGACACATATTTCTACAACAAAACCACATATAAGTATGTAAGATCTTCAGATGGTTGATCCCCTGTTTCTAGCTAAAAGGCTCGTAGCTTTACATTGAAGACATGAAACATAAATATGGTATTAAGCTTCCCATCTAACAAATTGAAAGGGTAATCGTATACCCCAAAGTGTAGTTATTGCTTTGAAACCTGCGAGAAAGTTCAAGTCATTTAAAACTAATTCAAGGTGTAAACAAAGCCTGCCAGGAGTCATAGGAGTGCTTCAAGTTGCTGTTCCTCAGCAGCTGGATTGAATTCCTCTTTTCTCCCTCTAGGTGGTGATCTTCGTCAAGTCAGTGCAGCGCTGCGTGGCTCTGGCTCAGCTGCTGGTGGAGCAAAACTTCCCGGCCATCGCCATCCACAGAGGGATGGCTCAGGAGGAGAGGTAACACACACACCAATACACACACACCAATACACACACTAACACGCACACACACCAATACAGACCCACACACACCAACCAACCCACACACACCAACCAACACGCACACACCAACCCATACAGACCAACACACACCAACACACACCAACCCATACAGACCAACACACACCAACCCACACACACCAATACAGACCAACACACACACACAATACAGACCAACACACACACACAATACAGACCAACACACACACACAATACAGACCAACACACACACACAATACAGACCAACACACACACACAATACAGACCAACACACACACACCAATACAGACCAACACACACACACCAATACAGACCAACACACACACACCAATACAGACCAACACACACACACAATACAGACCAACACACACACACAATACAGACCAACACACACACACAATACAGACCAACACACACACACAATACAGACCAACACACACACACAATACAGACCAACACACACACACAATACAGACCAACACACACACACAATACAGACCAACCACACACACACAATACAGACCAACACACACACACAATACAGACCAACACACACACACAATACAGACCAACACACACACACACAATACAGACCAACACACACACACACAATACAGACCAACACACACACACAATACAGACCAACACACACACCAATACAGACCACACACACACCAACACACACACCAACACACACACCAACACAGACTAACACACACACCAACACAGACTAACACACACACAGACTAACACACACACACCCATGTAAACAGACAGCAAAGGATCTGACTACTTCTTCCAAGATCATTGGGATTATTCATGTTGTTTGGGAAGTGCATTATGTCGAGTAGGTTTCTAGCTGTGTCTCAAAAAAGCAGTAATTCCGGTAAATATAAATATGGGGCTTGACTTTGTAAATATAGATTGTGAAAGTGAGTTATCTAATGTCTCAAAGTTCCATCTTCACACTTCATATGTGGCAACAGTAAATGCAAATCTCTCACGCATACTGTGACGGTTGCTAATGCAAACACACACAGATAAATCTTCCTCGTACACTACACACCTCTCATAAACATGTGCTCCTTTGAGCTCTGAATACTGAGCATGTTTATGGAGCATGAGGCCTCGTCAGTGAACTCAACACATCACTGCCTTCAAAGAGGCTTCAGTCAGTAATCCTGCAGCAGCTGATAGATAACACCCCCCCCCCCCCCCTTTACATTTCTGCCTCATGTTGTTGTATTCATGTTTCTGTGGTCTTCATTTTAAGTCTTGTGAAGCACTTTGTTTCTGTGAAAGATGCTATACTATATAAACGTATTATTATTTATGCAACAATAAGCCTTTTAGTAAGTCCTGTAGTGGCCGTTAAGTAAGTCTGTGCTCACATGGCAGCTATCCAATTGATTGCCTCCAATAAATGAATCACCAAGTGAAGAATATGGCCATTTTAATTACACGTATGTCGTAAAACGCACCATATATTGAAGTAATCGAAGCTTAAATCGGCCCCGTTATGCTAATTATCGGGTTTATTTGTATTTTGTTTCTCTAATGTGATGTGTTTCCAAGCTTTAAAAGTATTTTAATTATTATTTACATGCACTAAAAACTACTAAACACACTACAGGAAAGGGAGAAACCCCACAAATGTGTATCTACTAGTATATTGAGGTTAAAACAGATATTACACGACTACAATTGTCAAGATTTTGTGATGTTTTCAAAAGCAAATGTACGCATTGGTAACGTGAATTGTATTTCTGTGAAAGGTGCTATACTAAATAAACGTATTATTATGATTTACTCCACAGGCTGTCTCGCTACCAGCAGTTTAAGGACTTCCAGAGGCGGATCCTGGTCGCCACCAACCTGTTCGGCAGAGGGATGGACATCGAGCGGGTCAACATCGTCTTCAACTACGACATGCCGGAAGATTCTGACACCTATTTGCACAGGGTGAGCTTCAGAGTACTGATGTTACGGTCGTGAACGATCCGATTCCTTTGAACGAAGGGAACCGAGTCGTACTTTCTATCGTTGGTTCCCTGCCTGCCATAAATCCACTCGCCTTTACGGGAACTTGCTTTCCTGAATGCAAATGTTCCGTAGATGATGGCATGCTGCTTGAGTAGTAGTTGGGCTGGCTGAGAGATGAAGCAAGTTATAAAAAATTTCTGAGTAAAAGTAGATTTCTGATAATACAGTCAATCATTATCCTGGTGATTATTTCGCAGATAAACCTATTAACCACGCCCCCTTTTTGAATACCTGCATAACCGTAGCATGGATATGTCGTGTTAATTAGTCTCACGTCTGTGTGAAGTGTCCTTGGTTTTCGTGAAGTATTATTGAACATTTCAGTCAATCTAGAGTAGCCAAATGATCACCTTATTTCTCACAAGTCCTCGTACTTTTTCCTCAAGTAAGTTACGCCGAGTCCTCCTCACTTAGCTCACGGTTTGACAATGAATTTTCTACTTTTCTTAAACAAAGAATAAACAGGTTTTGTTTAGTCCTTTATCAATAAGAAATACAGTTGGTGTTTTAGCATCTCCTCGTCACTGGATATGTATACAGTCAAATAGTCTTTGTTTTGTCACCTTATTTCTCACAAGTCCTGTTACTTTTTCTTAAGTTACGCAGAGTTGCTGATATAATTGCGATATATCTTAGCACAGAAAATGCTACTAGTGAATTCATGCAAAAAAAACAAGTCCAAACATATTATGTAGATCTTCTTAGGCAAAGTTTTTGTAATGTTTTATTATCAATTAAACTACATTTTCAGTCTGCCATTTTCATCAATAAGAAGTATAGTTAGCATCTCTTCATCAAAGAAAGTGGTCGCCCATTTTGTTTCCCAGTGTCTCCTTTGTGCTCCATGTGTTAGTGGATTGAACTCACGTTGCCCCTCCTCTGCTTCAGGTTGCTCGTGCCGGTCGCTTTGGAACCAAAGGTCTGGCCATCACCTTCGTTTCTGACGAGACCGACGCCAAGACTCTGAACGACGTGCAGGACCGCTTTGAGGTCAATGTGGCCGAGCTGCCGGACGAGATCGACATCTCCTCTTACAGTAAGTCTCTCCTCCTCTTAATGCTGACGGGCTTTAGTGAAGCTGGACCGATCGTAATGTGTGGGATCAAATCACGTAACTCAAGACAACATAAAACGCAGCGCTGCTCAATTAACTGAAACCGCAATAGCGCAAAATATGTGTACAAATATGCTGAATAAAGTCTTGTGGTGCAGCAGAGATGTCACAGCCAACAAAACCAGTTCTACAGACTTAATAAAAAACACTTTTTGGATATTTTTCATGTCCTTCCTATACATTTTGTTGGATATACAACATCAAATAATTAAAAATTGGATTTTTGCACTATATTCTGGAAAAAAGTTTTTGGGTTTTTTGAGAAATGCAATCTCATCACGACTGCAAAATGATTACATTTAGTTAATTTTTCTAAATGGGGCTTCCTAAATGATACGTCTGCTATTGGAGTGGTGCAGGGGTGTCAAACTAACTTTTATGATACTTGCACATTTTGTTCAGCAGGATAATCTCCACACATTAACACCACAAGCTAACATTGGGCTATAAAGGAACTACAGCACGGTCACATGACTTCACGTCACCACCGCTAAGCTAAAGGTGGCTAACATTGGGCTATAAAGGAACTACAGCACGGTCACATGACTTCACGTCACCACCGCTAAGCTAAAGGTGGCTAATGTTAGGCTATAGAGCAACTACAGCACGGTCACATGACTTCACGCCACCACCGCTAAGCTAAAGGTGGCTAATGTTAGGCTATAGAGGAACTACAGCACGGTCACATGACTTCACGTCACCACCGCTAAGCTAAAGGTGGCTAACATTGGGCTATAAAGGAACTACAGCACGGTCACATGACTTCACGCCACCACCGCTAAGCTAAAGGCGGCTAATGTTGGGCTATAAAGGAACTACAGCACGGTCACATGACTTCACGTCACCACCGCTAAGCTAAAGGTGGCTAATGTTAGGCTATAGAGGAACTACAGCACGGTCACATGACTTCACGTCACCACCGCTAAGCTAAAGGTGGCTAACATTGGGCTATAAAGGAACTACAGCACGGTCACATGACTTCACGTCACCACCGCTAAGCTAAAGGTGGCTAATGTTAGGCTATAGAGGAACTACAGCACGGTCACATGACTTCACGCCACCACCGCTAAGCTAAAGGTGGCTAACATTGGGCTATAAAGGAACTACAGCACGGTCACATGACTTCACGTCACCACCGCTAAGCTAAAGGTGGCTAATGTTAGGCTATAGAGGAACTACAGCACGGTCACATGACTTCACGTCACCACCGCTAAGCTAAAGGTGGCTAATGTTGGGCTATAAAGGAACTACAGCACGGTCACATGACTTCACGTCACCACCGCTAAGCTAAAGGTGGCTTATTTTCAGCTATAGGGAAGCCAGAAAAACATTGACTTGGTGAAGTTTATATGAAGTGTTTAAATGATAACTTATTTCCTGGGTTTAGGACTAATTCCTGCAGCACTCTGTAGTTGATATACAGTCTGTTTAATCCATTGATATTTGGTCAGCTGTTGTAATTAACCTTCATTCGTCTTGGCAGAAACACGCAGCAGCAGCAGTTGTTGTTGTTGTGTCATGTATCTGTGGATCTGCTCTGCATGTTTAACCAGTCGCTGAAATGTAGTTATGCTCAGCTGTTGCTCATCGCGCTCATCTCTAAAATGCTCATCGTGTCTCTTTCCCTTCTCTACAGTCGAGCAGTCCAGATGAGTCCTCCAGCCCAGCAGAAATCTCTTCTTCATGGATCTCGTGTCTTGTATTTGGAAGTAGACGTATCTCACTGTTGAGTCAAAAAGGCTCTGCTCTGTTCACCAACGTTTATTTTTATTGTCATTTTTCTTTTTTGGGGGCGACAGGGGGGGTTGATTTTTAATTTGTCTTTAACTGTTGAAATTAAAACTTTTTATAAAATGCCATTTTTACTGTCTTGGTCTCTTCCGAGGCTCTTCTTGTCTCTACCCCATTTTCAGAGCTTCAGGGAAATGTATAAAAACATATTTCTGAGGAACATGATTTGAGCCCCCTTTTTGAAAATAGTATTGTATAGGAAGTTATTTTTGTCCCCCCCCTCTCCTCCTGCAACGATAAGCCTTTTTACAAAGTCATGTAGTGACCGTTAAGTAAGTCTATGCTCACATGGCAGCTATCTCTCTGAATATCCAATTGAATGCCTCCAATAAAAGAATCACCAAGTGAAGAATTTGGCCATTTTTATTACACGTATGTCATAAAACACACCGTATATTGAAGTAATTGAAGCTTAAATCTTAAAATTATACTTATTCCAGGTTCATATGTAATTTGTGCCTGTAATGTGACGTGTTTCCAAGCTTTAACTGTCTTTATTTTGCCTTAGCAGACCATTTACATGCACTAAAATGTATTTAAACACACTACAGGAAAGGGGGAAACTCCCAAAAAGGAGAATAGGGCCCCTTTAATTTGTATCTCCTAGTATTTTGAGGTTAAAACGTCTACAATTGTCATGATTTATGATGTTTTTAAAAGCACATGTAAGCATGGTAATGCCGTGTTAACATCAGAATTTAATAGTAGCAATAATTAGCTTAAAACCCACCAATGTATGAACTGTTGAGACGGCATTGAAAACGCAACATTTGGTAATTTTATCTACATTAAAAGAAAAATATAACATTATGGAAATGTTGAAGACCAATTGTAGGAGTGAACATGTCTTTATTAAAAATGCAAAATGAACTCCAAACTCTTAACATCCCATTATTTGGTAGGCAACCCGTTTCCAGCAAGTCTGTAAATATGTAATCCTAAAAAGCATGACTTTATGACTGCAGATGGTGTTTGTACACTAGTAGACATACAATCCTCATGCTTTCAAATTGGCACTAAAGGACCTGAACCCTGCTCTGTTCAGTGCTAAACTCTACATGGACTACTTCAGTATAACTGGGTAAAAGGATTGGTTCTTATACAGCAGATCTACAAAGGGAACAATGCATCTGTACATAGCTGCTCTATAGTGTTTAAACAAAACTACACATACAGTACCAAAACCACAGCATCTACATAGGCAAATATCAATGGCCAACAATTAAACACTTTATTTTTTTATCACCTGCAAAAGTTGTTTCAGGCTTCGTGGCAAAGTCTCTGAACTAAGAAAGCCTACTGAAGCCAAGAAGAGATGGTAGAAAATGCAAATATTATCCAGAAGGAATATCTAAGCCGAGAGAAAACACATCTTTGAAATACTGAAAATGGTGATTCAGTAACGATAAAAGTCAGTTCCTCTGTAGATAGAACTGGACGAAGGATTTTCCTCCCATCGAAATGTCTTATGGGATCCTTTCCTAACGTCCTCTCCAAAGGCCGCGAGGCTCCTCTCTCAGAAACAGACTGTTACACATGGATGAAGCGTGAGTTATTGTTTCATGAGCTCACATGCCGCTCGATTACAGGCCAGACAGCGGTTCCAACCCGCGAGTCACAAATTACATGTTTACCTCAGCAGACGCCGTTTTTTTTCAAATTTTATTTTTATAGCAAACCAAAGAGTCCACTCTCGCTGAGTCAGGATTGTAATTTGCTCAGAGAGTTAGGCGGGTCGACGTCTCGGCGCCAGAATCCTATGCTTGTTCTTCTGGTTCTTGCTAAATGTCTCTTGTAGATTCGAAGGCAGGGGGACGTCCAGCTGTGTCAACAACCTTTGACTTGTTCCCCCACTAATGCTTCAACCCATCAGGTTCAACTCGGGCTTTTTCTAGTACATACCTCCTGCTCTCCTTCATCATCCATCATTAGATTTGGCTTTCTGACCCAGGGGTCGAGCCCCAGATCTGTTTAGGCCGACAGCTCTCAGCTGTTTTGTCCGTCCAAACATAGCGACCCAACTGTGTCATCACGTCTGTCTCAATAAATACCAGTGAATAAATACTGTGAAAAGACCTCCTTCAAGAACATCTGAAATGCTCGTCCATCTTCTGCCGTACCGGTTTCTTTGTCTTCTTTTGGTTCATCCAGTTATTGGAGTGCATGTATTAGCTCCAATGCGAGGTCAACCAGCTTTCTATCGGCTCGTCGGACTTACGAAACTGTGACGTGGATCCACCGAAAGAAACATCAACAGTTCTGTTTGTGTGTCTCGCTCCATCGTCCTCATCAAAAGTCTCAGAGGACGTTTGGTAGCGTCCATTAAGGTCTTAGTCACAGTCTGTAGGAACAACGTTTATCTACACTAAAGCACCTGCTCTTCCCCGTCCAAATTTCCCCATTCCTCCCCAGTTTCTCGTTCACCTCGCTTGCGTCTACTCATAGATCAGGGGTGTCCAAACTAATCGGCAAATTCAAAAAGTATACTGGAATGCGGCCCACAAATGAAACTTGTGCTTGTCTTGTACTTCTTAAATATATCTGTAAATATATATTACACAGTAGTGTTCATGTGTTAATAAACCCACTTTCAGTCAATTCAAGTTGAAAATATGTTCTAAGAAATCTAAGTTGATAAGAAAAAAGCCCAATAACTTATTTACATAACAACCTTGAAATAGACCCTTCCTATTTGCTCTTATGATAAGCAATCTAAGGCTTCTGTTTTAAGGAATGAGCTGCCAACACAATAAATGAAACCCTATGGAAAGCAGCAGTATAATTGACTTACATTTGATTGATTTCGCTAACTTATAACTTCACTTATGAGGCAAACCTGACCTGTAGTGAGTGGCCCAGCCCTTCGAATATCTTTCTGTATGTGGCCCTCGGTGAAAAATGTTTGGACACCCCTGTCATAGATACACTAAGGACAGCTATTCTATATTGGGGATCACTATGGGAGGTTATTGTCTGTTTGCTGTGGGGGAATGTCTAGTCGATGAACTTGTGCGTGTCCCCGTAGAGCCATCGTTGAGGCGGCATGGCGGCCTCGTTAAGATGGTTGCATTCATCGCTGCACTTGCAGGACTGGATGAACATCACGGAGCGGTTGAATCTCTCTCCGTCGGGACAGGCGAAACTCACGCTGGCGGTGCGTGTGCGGCGAGGCGAGCAGCAGCGGCCGTCCCTGCACACGCCGCAGTAGTTTGGTCGGTACAGACGAGAGCTCCTGCAGCCGGCGTAGGACAGGCGATGGGGTTCAGGAGCCTTGTGGGTACGAGAGCACTTCCTTCCTTTCTGTGGAGGGAAACAGACACGAGTGAATTCCAGTGAAGGAGTCTAGAGTTAAAGGTCCCCTATTATACAGTTTGTCATCAATATATCACAGGTCTCAGATATATACAGAGCCTGTCTCTGATTGGCTGAAACACCAAACAGATCATTGCAGCATCCCATAATCCCCTCTGTTTCAGCCCTGTTTCAAAAGTGCTGATTCTCTGTCTGTTACTTTAGATTAAAATAAGGAGCCCCTCCCCACGCCCCTCTGAGAGATATTTGGTTAAAAAGAACACAATAGCCGCGTTCACACCGCAGTAATTTTCCAACTTTAGTTCCGATATAGTTCCGAAATGTCGCGTTCACACCAAAAAGAGCCGGAACAAAAATTAGTTCATGAGAACCTTTTTTACCTCCTTTTCCGTCCCTGCTAGAGAGCAGGTACTTTCGTGGGAGAAAAAGATTCCTATTTCTGATTGGCTGGGCGGATTGCAAACCACGCCCCGTAAAACTCCCAAAAAGTGTTGTGAAGCCGCCATTTTATTATCCTCGCATTAGCATTAGCATTAGCATTAGCATTAGCCCAGGGCGCAAACGCAGAGAGACTAACTTATGGCAACACAAAAGAAAACATGGGAGCGGTGGAGATGAGGAGGTGTCGGCGTTCTGGCGATTTACTCGGAAGGCTTCAGTAGAAGCTGCTGGGAGTCCCAGCAGCTTCTACTGAAGCCAGTCCCCAACTCCAGGGACTTCCGGCCGGGGACTTCGGGTGGCAGTATACGCCGTGAAGTTGTTTGCGGCCTGCCAGTAAACCCAAAGCAGAAGAAGAATAAGTGACGTCAGCGGCTTCATTTGCGTAATCTTCCCTCAGGAACTTATTCCGGTGTGAACGCGATCTGTACTTAGTTCATGAGAACTAAAGAGTTCTGATGAACTAAGTTCTCATGAACCTTTGTGGGAAAAGTACTGCGGTGTGAAAGCGCCTATTGTCTTCACCAACTTGACAACATGTGCAGCGTTGGGAAACATTAACCAACTTGCTGAAATGGGTCATACCGCATAGCGAGAACTTTTACTTCCGGTGAGTCAAGTCATATTTTGATGCCAATACTTGAGTACTTTTACTTGATTTGGAACACAGTACTTTAACTTGTAACAGAGTATTTCTACAGTTAAGTATTGGCACTTTTACTTAGTTAAAAGCACTGAGTAGTTCTATTGTGTAACGTTACCAAACCCTACATACCGCAGAGCAAGACGAAACAACTCATTACTCGATCCCCGCGCCATGGAAAACAAACTCGATGCCGTTAAGTACCGAGACAAAGAAAAACAAATGAAAGGTCAGAACAACCGATGAGTGGCGGAGAGGAACATGCCAGCGACGGTTCAGGATCGACACGATGCACATTAACACCCACAGCCGCTCTGAAAACACGGGGAGAGAACAGGTGCAAAACAACCTGTCCACCTCCTGAGTGTTTCACAGCGAGAGGCAGAGCGTTTCAGAGGGAGTTGAGTGATGAGAGGAAAACAGAGTGGGCGAATGGAGAGCTCTTTAAATCACAAAGCAAAGAGACGCTGAGTGCGGCTGACAGTGACGGCTCAGCGTGGGAGTTCTCCAAACACCAGCAAACAAATGAGGGGTTTTTGTTTTGTGTCTGAAAAGTTATGGGATTTTAGCCCAAAACTGTGGTTCTAGGTGTTCTTAAAGTGTCCGAAAGTACAATGGGAGACAACGCCTATAGCTATCTCCCAGTTTGTTTTCATTTGCTGACAAAGTTCAACA